GGAAATAGCATTGCCTAGGATGCAACGTAATGAACATGCTGTCTACCCCAAACATATCAATAAACCTCTCTATCACTTAAACTCATTTCATTTTGCCTTCTTTCATTTTACCTAATTTAACTCACAACTCTCCCCACCCTTCAAAGGTAACCTTGTTGGCTGTCTTTTGCAGTGTTTTTCACAAGTCAAGTCGGGTCATCGATCGTAGCGCCCCAACATTCCAAACCTCAGTAGACAGCGCTCTCCCATTGTGTATGGATTAAACTAACTTTCACATCAACCTGACAGACAACCTTCCATATAAATGTGTCTGTCATCTGCTCCGTAATTCAGTTTTCTGTAGCTAATGTTTTAACAGGATTTTAAAGATATTTACCGATAAAATTCCATCATTGTCAATTTCTTTTCCCTATATAGGGTAAATCTATTTTCGGTATTTTTTTGCTCTCATTCGCTTTTAGACGAGGTCAGGAGCCTGTTGAAACCATTCGCCTCAGAAAAAGCCGTCAAGCTTATCTGCAGCGGTCTTCAGTGAGGATCGGTCCCGAGCCAGGGTCCGGTTGTAAAGCTCTTATTATTATTTCCACATCAACATATATTTTCCATTTTGTGTTTGCGCTTCTCATTTAACTGGGGCATCTGATAGGACGGTTTGAAGTTCAATGGTTTTTTTCCCTAAAATTCTACATAGCCCCTTCTAGCATGTTCTGTATTTACAAGTGCGAAGATTGGTAAACCATTGATTGGGAGTTCTTTTTTTCCTACGCCAGAACCATGTCGGGTTGTTCGTACTCGCGCGGTCTAGGCCTTCACAATTCACCTAAGTAATATCAATCCATTGGCAATGTTGTGCTTGCCGTCATTATATTCCCCCCACATATTTTTTCCAGCCAACCCTCAATCGATAGTTTGAACTTGTTTAAGTCTACATTTTTACGATCCAGGTTGTGCAAATATGAAGTTTCACCATTTTTTCCTCTGAGATGAAGTCTTATTGCTGACCTTACGAGTTCGCATTGGACGCTTTAACATCCGACATAGGAGGGGCCGTGGCCGCTTGTATGACGTGCGACCTTCCCTTACTTCTGACCTGCAAAAGGACTCAAGTATCATCTAAACTCCGTCATTTTTGGATTGCGGGAGGCAGAAACAATTACACAAATGGAAGTCCGTCTCTATGAGATGGCAAACGGTCACCCTTTGGACCGGAATGGAACAGCACAGCCGACAACGACATCCAGTTAGCCAGCTTATAGTGCAGTTGAGCGAGAGATTTGAGAATTTGAGGACTGCCAAGAACCGGCGACTTCAAATTTCCGTAACTGTCAATTGCTTGGTTAATGAGTTTTGACAGTAACTAGGGGTATAATCGAGAGCTCAAAGCCAGTCCGGCGTTGGTTGGCGTGCCACCGTGTAATTACGATCTTCTGAGGTTCGTCATCGGGGCAAACGCAGCCACTGCTTAATTGTGAACACAGTCAGTCCACGATCCAAAGAGTAACATCTCGCTGCCTTCCTGCTTCCGTGCAGGCGACAGCTCTGCCCATTCAGATTGGAAATTAGAAGCGGAGGGGAAGATCACAAAAACACAGCGCAGACCACACCTGTACTTACTGGTCCTGTCTCATTGCTGGGGGTGTTTTTTACCTGGTAGCTTGAACCATCAACACTGCAAACCGGCTGGTCTGGGCCCGGTCTGCGACCCAGACTCGCTAGTTTCCATCCGGTGGGCTGAATAACCGGTCTTAATCTTACTCATCTTCTTGCCTTCGCATACCACGCATAGACCGGCTGATGTTGACCAGTAGACATCAAAAGATGGAGGTGCATTTCAAGTACATTTTGTATAAATTTCGTAATTAAAGAATTTGGCTACGCCATGGGTCCG